GACTGAGATGGTGCCGTGTGTTTCTCTAACATTAATATTTATCAGATGCAAAGATGCGTTGGAGTGCTTTAGCCTGCAGCTTCCCAAACATGTCAGCGAGCTTGTCTTCGTCTTTTTCGCGACTGAAAGACTCGGCTGGTCTCCGGGTACAGATGCACAGCTGTGATGCAGGCTGGTCCAGGTCCTGCTTTTAAGGAACGAGCGAGCAAAATGTGTTGGTTTCAGCGTCAGACTCGGGCTGGTGCTTAACAAAGCTGGTTTACCTGTGCTGTGCTGGTAAAGCTGTGAATGAGCCAATAGGCTACAATAACTCAGGCTGAAGTGTGGGCTGATTGAAAGCAAACAGCTTAGAGAGCGAGGACTCTTTCATCTGTGAGCTTTTTATTTTCTATGTGGGCTTTTGTTTTTGCAGGCAGATGTGACACCCCCCATCCCCCCCACACTCCCACACACACCTCCCCTCGCGGCTAATGGGTGATGCCAGTCTGTCACACATCTGTGGACAGATGTTCTGACTCCTGGCCGGAGGTTTTGTTTCTCTGCCTTCTGTTTTAAAATCCTCCAAAGGTTTTCTGATGGATTCAGGTCAGAGGACAGACTTTATCCAGCTCATAATCTCACATTGTTCTTCCATTAGTCTGTAAAGGCCTTCTCCTCCATGTGTCTGCAGCCACCGCTGGGTCAGATCAGGTCAGACCTGTATTTTCTTTTGGCTCCTCCTGTAGATCCTGACCTCTGCTGCTACATTAAAGCACAGGTACAGGTGGATTCCTGTTGGTCTCACCCTGAGACCGAGAGCCAAACGAGCAGCTGTGGAGTTCGTGGGTTCTTTTTCTAATCTCGCTCAGGCAGCCATCTTTAAGAGGACTCGGGTGCGATTACAGTTTGCTGCAGCGGTCACAGGTTGCATTCAGGGCCTGCATTTCCAGTGCTGTCTGCCCTTTGTTTGTTTTTAGTGCTACTTCAGATCCAATGCAGACATTTCATCTTAAAATGAAACGGTTCCTTTCATGACGACTGAACGTTTACCGGCAGCGGTAAAAGGTCTTTGCTGATGAAAATAAACTGTCAGGTGCTGCGGAGGATGAAGGCGAACGTTCACGTGAATTCTGTTGTGTTTCTTCTCTGTTTCAGGACATCAACAAACGTCTGTCGTTACCGGCTGACATCCGTCTTCCAGACGATTACCTGGAGAAGTTTAATGTGATTGGTCCAGCTCTGTTCGAGCAGCCAATCAGCAGGCGGCTGCGTAGAGTGTCTCTGGTATGTGTAACTGCTTCTTTTCGTTTTCACGCAGGTGTTTGGGACAGTTTTGCGTAGGCCTGCAACAAACGATGATTTTGATAGTCGACTAGTCACCGATTATTTTTGTGATTAGTCGACTAATCAGATCATCATCCATTGGACGTGGAAAGCTTATTGGACCAACAGCATCTGCTCTTATATAACCATCATTTCTAACTAAAAATAAAGACAAGATGATGGTTTCTTAAACTTTTAATGAAATTTGCAGATTGTCTCAATGAAGTTTAATAAACTCAGCCATCTGCTCCTTGCTGTCTAATATATAACAGGACATTGGAGTAAATTCGAGCATCTCACACTTCTGTGTGATGTTTATTCAGCTGTGTGAAAGCTATAACTTTAATCTCAGCTAAACCGATTTACTCAGGAACAAATAAAAGACTGAAAAAAGCCAAACGATAACATTTTTAATTTATCTAACTGACTTATAAATCATGTTTAACCTGAGTAGCAAAAGATCGCTGGGTTGAAAACGATGTACCGGGAGTTCGCTGTTCTCACCAGCTCTAGTGATCCTTGAATCCGGCTCGCTATCCAGCTGGTGGGTAACAGACATCTCCGAAAACGTTTACACAGCTACATTCTCGCCTGAAAATATGTTAAACGTTTATTTTGTGACCCAGACATTTGGACAGCCTTTGTCGCGCCACTGTAACGTAATCGGCCTACAAATGCGACCTCGGAAAGATGCGGCCCCTGACACACAGTCCGCTGGGCTGCAGACTGTGTGTCTGTAGGGGGGGATGCAAGTGTGAAACCGGTTTCTGATTCTGTTGTTTCAAGCAATGCAGGATGTTTGTTGTGTTGTTTCTCTTGCATTTATTGTGCCAGCGCAGGTTATTTTAACCCTCTGTCTGCCTCTTTGCCTGCAGTCAGAGATTGGTTTTGGGAAGCTGGAGACTTACATCAAGCTGGACAAACTGGGAGAGGTGAGGCCACATTATCTCCTTCTGTCTGTTGATGTCAGACAGATCTTTGAAACTGTTTAATAAAGAACACAAACAGGATCTAAGTGCTCCGTGCTGCCCTGTGACACTCCTTAAAGGTTTCATTTCAGACTTACTAACTACATGTAAAGTTTTCTGACCTTTTCTACAAATTAAGTGTAAAAAGCTTTTCTTTTTGTTGTAATGTTTGCTTTTGGCTCCAGAAATCAATAAATAAATGCCCCGCCTCTCTCCTCGCTGTGTCTCACCTGTGTGTAGGGGACCTATGCCACAGTCTATAAAGGTCGGAGTAAACTGACTGAAAATCTCGTGGCTCTGAAGGAAATTCGACTGGAACATGAAGAAGGAGCTCCGTGCACTGCAATCAGAGAAGGTACTGCATCAGTGACACTGAACCAACAGAAGTATTTCTGGTACTACAGTAGTAGAAGTACTAATGACAGCATGTTTGTGCTTTTTACTCGTCAGTGTCTCTGTTGAAGGATTTGAAACACGCCAACATCGTCACGCTTCATGACATCATCCACACGCAGAAATCCCTCACACTGGTGTTTGAGTACCTGGTAAGAAACGCACACAATAATACACAAACTCCTCTTCTTCTTCTTCTTTGGTGTGTTTGAATGTGTGTGTTCGTGTGTTTCAGGACAAGGATCTGAAGCAGTATCTGGACGACTGTGGAAATGTCATTCATGTTCACAATGTCAAAGTGAGAAAAGTTTGTTTTATT